AATGTCTAATTCTCCCTATAAAGTAAAGTGAGAGTTTTTTTTAACGAAGAAGGGAGTTACTTATTCTTGAACTAGACAGACAGTAAAGAGGAAGATAAAAACGCTCCGTTCGTAGTACTCCAAGACAGGTAGATAAAAATACTTTACACGTAAAAAATAATGGCGTTGGATGAGAGATACTCCAATGGAAGGCATACCCCTTTTCAACACACAATTTAATAAATGTCCAATCAAATTAATCTTCCACTATTTTCTTCTTTATTTATTTGTTCTAATCAAATTTAAGTGCTAAGTTGCTTTATGTGAACACACATCAATATCATTGTTATATTAAAAGAAGCACGTTGGACAAGTTTTTTAAGACGTTTTTACCCTTGCTTTTATTTAATTCATTTATTTATTACACTCACACTTTAAATAAAATATATATTTAAATTTCTTAAAATCTCTATTTATTTGAATTAAAAAAACCCCTAAATAATGAATTTTACATTAAAGATGAATATTTTTTGAATTCAAAACAAAATTAATATGTATTAATCAAAAAATTAAAATTTAAAACCATTTTTTAAACATTAATATTTTTGAATTTTAAAGTAAACTTACTTTTAGATTGAGTTAGAACGGGTTGAAACGGATGTTATATTTTACTATATATATTATATTTGATATTTTATTATAGGTAAATATCTAAATATTTATCTTATATTACAGCTTAATATACATGTCTCTTATTTAGTGTTATTTTCATACCCTTGTAATTTATTTCAATACATAATTTAGATGTGGTGACATAAACACTTTAAATTTATTTTGAAAACTTTTTATTTATTTATTTTTAGATTAAAAAATGGTTGTAGTGTTGTTATTTGTTGCATTCTCGAATTATTGAGGGTTACAAAGTTTAGCCCGCTACGCTCACATGCTGGACCTCCACAACGGCCCAACGGCTACCTCTCAAAAAAATTTAAATTATATATTAATTAAATAGCTTGTCTCAAAATTTGATTGAATATTGTTTTTAATTTTACAGTTTCATTTATAATCTCTACAAAATTCTGAAAAATATATATGAATTTATTTTAAAACAGGATAATTATCATTTTTAATATAATTTTTATTCAATAATATTTTATAAATAAAAACATAACACAAACCAGAGTTAAACATAATTTTTAAATTTTAAATTTCAATATTACACCATATTTTCAATAATAAGTCTAACATTTATTTATTTATTTACTATTTGTACCTAAAAGGATGAGAGTCACTTCTCGGTGGGGGAAATCTTTCCCATATTCTCCGTTTAAATAAGAATTTCTCATCTTATTTGGGCAGGTCACCACGAGTCTTAGTCTTACAGGTTAAATCTGTTGGATGAAAGTCTCATATTGACTGATTTAAAGAATGATCGTGAGCTTATAATCAATGAATACTATCTCCATTAGGATGAGACATCTTGGGGAATCCCAAAGCAAAGCCACGAGAACTTATGTTCAAAGTAGACAATATCATACCATTTTGGAGAGTCGTGTTCATATAACATGGTATCAGAGTCATGCCCTAAACTTAATTATGTCAATAGAATCCTCAAATGTCGAGCAAAATTATTGTGAGCCTGATTCACTAATTTAAGGAATGATCATGGGTTAGAATACTCTCGGGTATACTCAAATAAATAATATTATACTATTGTGGAGAGCCGTGTTCATCTAACAAAATCTACATATCAAGTTTGACGTTAAGTTCAACAGTACTCTAACGTCTTAATTCGGGATATACGTTTATACATTTTTTTTCTTAATTTATATGCTTAATAATAAGTTTTAAAAGTTGTACACAACACAAACTCCACGTCCAAACTTTAGTAACAAAAGATTGAATTTTTTGTAGTTCGACAAATACGAACATCGTAGTAAATCCGATGATTTTGAGTTGATTCGGAATCGTTTTTCAAGTGCTTAAAAACGTTTTTTTTAACATTTAAAACTCCATTTTAAATGAATAAATGAAACTCTCCAACACGAGTAACTGCACCTCGGATCCTCTCTTCTCTTCATATAAATTTGACCATTCCCATAATTCATCACCACCACCACAGCAACCACCAAACATGGCCACTCAGCTCATTATCCTGTCGCTCATTTCCGTGGCACTCCTCGCGGCCGTTCCCCACACCGAAGCCCGCGCCATGAACATGAACGCCATCGACCGATGCTGGCGATCGAACCCATACTGGAGAAAAAACAGGCAAAAGCTCGCCCTTTGTTCAATTGGGTTTGTAGGAAAAATGACCAACAACATCGGAAGAAACCTCGTACACTACCAAGTCACGGACCCCACCGACGACCCACTAACCCCACGCCCAGGCACCCTCAGATACGGCGCCACAATGATCAAACCCAAAGTATGGATCACGTTTCAAAAAGACATGCACATTGTGCTTAACAAGCCGCTTCTTATTAGCAGCTACACGGCCATCGACGGCCGTGGCGCCACCGTCCACATCACGGGGAATGCGTGTCTGATGGTGTCTAGAGCCACCAATGTCATAATCCATGGGCTTATTATCCACCATTGCAAGGCCCAGGCGGCTGGCCGTGTAATGGGACCGGGTTCGAAGATCGTTTCATTGGGACACGTGGACGGTGATGCCATTCGTTTGGTTAGTGCTTCTAAGATTTGGATTGACCATAACACGCTGTATCGGTGTGAGGATGGGCTGATTGATGTCACTAGAGGCTCTACAGATATCACCATTTCTAACAATTGGTTGAGAGATCAAGACAAGGTTATACTTTTGGGTCACGACGATGATTATATTTGGGACCGAAACATGAAGGTTACTCTCGTTTATAACCATTTCGGACCTAATTGCAACCAAAGGATGCCCAGGTAACATTTAATATGGTATCAAACCATAACATAAATTTTAAGGCTAAATTAATAAAAATATTTGTAAATTTTGTATTTTATCATAAAAATATTCTTCAAAATTTTCAAAAATTTTAATAATGCTCTTAAACTCAAAAATACCGTTGACTTTAGAATAAATTGAAAACTATTAATAATTTTGTTTTAAAATACTTTAAAAAAAGTTTCAAAAATACCATTAAGCTTTTAAGAGTATTTTTAAAATACCTTCAAACTTTCTTAAATTTTATTGATATCAAGTTTTTTTTTTTAAGATATTAATTTTTTTAAAAAGTTAAAAAATAATTTGTATATGGATGAAATTGTTAGTACCTTTAAAAAATAACTAAAAATTTCTCAACTTCTATAATTTTTTTTTTCTTTTTTACCGTTCCCTTAAAATGGAAGATAGAGATGACATATGAGGTATAGATAGACATTTTCCGTTACAATAATAACTTTTTAATTTTATTTTACAAAAGTTCATGGATAATTATTAAACATAGTATTAATGGTAAGAATATTTTTCAGCGTTTTTTACTTCAAAAGTACAACAAAACTTTTGAAAGTTCAAAGGTATTTTGAAATAGATTATTAACCGTAACCATATTTTTCAAAGTTTAAAGGTAATATTGAATTCTTATAAATTTATAATTTTGAGACAAAATATAAAGTTTACGGATATTTTTTTATTTATTAATTTAACAAAATTTGGTATGAAAATACAGGATTAGATACGGGTATGCACACGTGGCGAACAATTTGTACCAAGGTTGGACACAATACGCAATTGGAGGCAGCATGAATCCTAGTGTGAAGAGTGAAGCCAACCTTTTCATGGCATCAAAATCAAAACAGGCAATAATAATAACAACAATATATCAAAACTCCATATTTGGTTAAAAAATTGAGCCTTTTCTTACCAAACAACAACAAATGCTTATTTGAAATCATAAAATGCAGATCATATGGAGCACAGGCAAAGTAGAGAACGCCAAGTGGAATTTCCATTCAGTAAGAGACGTTTTTGAAAACGGCGCTTCCTTCGCACAGATCGGCGCTGGCCGAGGCGGTGTCAAGCCACATTACAATGCCCTGCAGCGCTTCCCAGTGGTAGACGCCAAGTGGTTGCGGTCATTGACAAGCTCTTCCGGCGCCCTGCGCTGCTCACCACGCTCAAGGTGTTGACCACTTGGAATCTTTGTTTCCTGTCAAATAAGGATGGGACTCTCCCATCTTTGTATTGTTAATTAATGAATGATGATAATTAAGTGATAATAAGTGTTGAGGCATATTCAAACACATAATTAATTAAGACCCAGAAAGTGAAAAATTGATGAACACACTTAAAACAGAGAGCCCTTTAAGGATCGAAAGGAATATTGAAAAACAAGAAGAAAGAAACATGAGGAGTATCAATGTCGCGGCATGCGTGGTGCTACCATTCCTAATATGGTTGATTATAAATGTGAGATCTTATGTCGGTTGAAGAAAGGAATTGAACATTCCTTATAAGGGTGTGGAAACCTCTCCCTAACAGACACGTTTTAAAACCTTGAGGTTGATGACAATTTGTAATGGGCCGAAGTGTGAGATCTCATGTTGGTTAAAGAGGGGAAAGAAGCATATTTCTTATAAGGGTGTGGAAATCTTTTACTACTAGACACGTTTTAAAGTTGTGAGGCTGATGTCGATATGCAATGGGTTGAAGTGTGAGATCCCACATCGATTAAAGAGGGGAAAGAAGCATTTCTTATAAGGGTGGGGAAATCTCTCACTACTAGACACGTTTTAAACTGTGAGGCTGATGACGATATGTAACGGGCCAAAGTGTGAGATCTCACATCGGTTAGAGGGGAACGAAACATTTCTTATAAGGGTGTGGAAGCTCTCACTAGCAAACACGTTTTAAAACTGTGAGGCTGACGGCGATATATAATGGGCTGAAGTGGACAATATCCATTTGCGGTGGACTTAGACTGTTACAATGAGTACCCATCGAACAAGAGAGAGAGAAGTAAAGGGCTTGTGTGAAACGTTTGTCCAAGAATCTACAAAAGAGAAAGAAGGGAGGGGGAGAGGCCGAAAAACAAAAGAAAAAGAAAAGAAAAGAAAAGAAAACGATCCCAAAGAGAAGAAGTTACTTTGAATCCTCTTTTATATATAGGGAGTTTTAACGATGTGGGGAAAGAGTTCTCAATCCACCAATTGGTTACCAACTCAAAAGGAATCAATGGCGCCAGTGGGCTTGCCTCCAGGCTTTCGGTTCCATCCCACCGACGAAGAGCTTGTCAACTACTATCTCAAGAGGAAGATCAGTGGCCAAGAAATCGAGCTCGATATCATTCCTGAGGTTGATCTCTACAAATGCGAGCCTTGGGAATTATCAGGTTACTTAACTTTCCTCTCTTTGTATCTATCTTATATCAATTGAGTTATGTTTAGATTGAGAATTATTAAAGCGAGAGAGTTTTGAAAGAGAAATGTGGTTGATAATTGAGAAACTACCATTCATATTTGTTGTAGAAAAGTCATTTCTGCCTAGTAGAGACCCAGAATGGTACTTCTTCGGGCCACGAGATAGAAAATATCCAAATGGGTTTAGAACCAATCGAGCTACAAGAGCAGGCTACTGGAAATCAACTGGAAAAGACAGGAGAGTCTCGTCTCAAAACCGAGCCATTGGGATGAAGAAGACACTTGTTTACTACAGAGGCCGAGCACCTCAAGGCATAAGGACCGACTGGGTCATGCATGAATATCGCCTAGACGATAAAGACTATGAGGACAACTCCGGCATTCAGGTATAAACATTGTTTTTGGATTTGAAATATGAAACATTAGCTTTAATTTGAATAACTAACTAACCCATTTGGAAGAATTTGGATACATGTGTTCCTTTTTTTCACTCTCCCACGGTCAACTTTTTCCCATTCACAATGATTACCAGCTTCTTTGGATTTGGTTGTATCTTTCTTTTCTTTCTTGCTCTTTTGATTTTTGTTTCTTTGCAATCATATTCTTCTTTAGAAGATAGAACATCGACAAAGATTTTTTGAGTTCACTTTTTTTTTTCACCCACTCCACACTTTTCCTTTGGCATTGGTTGGAGATAGAAAGCAAGCTCCTTAAAGTTTGCTATATATATTCTTCCACCTTCCTATACTAAGGCTATAACTATGGTGAAACATCAAACGACTTCACCGAAAGCTAAAGCCCTCGGCCTCAATCTAAACAATAAAAAATCAAATGGTTATGAACGACACCATGTAGAGTGACGTACATATTCTTTACTTGTACTAGGATCTTTCAAGTGATAAAAGTTGGGGTTGGGTTTTGTTTTCATATGGAAAATGAGACAAAAGTGGTATACCCTATGACTTGAACCACACACAGAGCCTATTATTTGTAGTTTAATATATTCCATCTTTCCAGCATTTTTGATGATCTATTCTATTCTCTAAGTTGGATTCCCCAGAGAGAGGAAGAGAGAGAAGAGTCCCCCATGATTTGCTTTTTCTGTTGTAAGAACATGTCTCTCTCTCACTTTTCCCTTTATTCCAATCACTAAAATCTCCCAAAATACCTTTCTAAAGTTTTGTTCAACTTGTCACACATACTCTGTTTTTTCTATAAGCAGTTCATTTCACAAGATACCATCTTAGATCACATAATGGAAACAGGTTAAAGAAAAGAGATAAAGTCAAAAGACAATCAGAAATGAGATGAAAAATTGGAAGTGTTTTTGTATGGGGTTGTTGCAGGATTCTTACGCCTTGTGTAGAGTGTTCAAGAAAAATGGAATATGTTCGGAAGTTGAAGAACAAGGTGGGCAAAGCAGTCTGTCATTTATGGATCATCACAACTCAAACTCAACATCACAAACATTAGTCAATGATTATGAAACTTTGTCACCTGATGTTCTGATGGCAGCTTCATCTTCTTGTGTGGAAGAAGAAGAGAAGGACGATTCATGGATGCAATTCATTACAGAAGATGCATGGTGTGCTTCCAATTCATCAGCCATTGGCCTTGACGAGCTTTCTCACCTGACATTCACCAATTGAAACCATATTGGTTGCTAATAATTTATAGATTTAATGGTTGGTATATTTTTTTCCTTTTACTATAATAATTATTAATACATGTATCTCTCTCTATATATAATACGAGTTGATGGGATTGGGAAGAAAGAGCGAGGAAAAAGATGGTCACATTTGTCAATTTCCATCTGTAGATTATGCGTTTTGGATTGTGGGTTTGGTTGGTGACTTCTGTAGGGTCAAACTAAATCAAGTAGAATACAAGACTCTATGGAATATATTTTGGTTTCACCTTTTCTTGGTGAATTATCTGATCTCTGGGTGTTACTTACAATAAAAACAACATCATATAGACTGATTTCTTTTTTCTTTTTTCCATTTTTACCTAAACCAACCCATAGCACCAAGAACAAGCAAAGACTAGCATCAAAGAAACTATTTGCCAGTCTCACAAGATCTTGATGATCGTACCTTCTTGCAACAATGCCTAGGCTTCAGGGTCCAGCAGTCTTGAACACTGCCTAGATTTATCTATATGAAAGACATTAACATTATCTTCAAGAATTTCTATACTATAGTTTAGAGTAGACTCATCCATTTGGATTGAGGAATCTGTTTTTGCCGTTTTAGTCTGTAGAAGGGTTATGAGCTGCTGCTATAACAGCTTAAATGATAAGGCACACAAAATCATCCATGACCAAATTCATTCCCAAGTGCAGGGACTTGGTATAAAATGAGGAGAAAATGAAAACAAAACAAATGTCAATAATTCAAGACAGAAAGGAAGATGTAATCAACGTAGTTAGTTAGCAGAAAGGCGAAAAGCTATTACTTCCGTATGTTACGATCACAAAATAAACAACAATCACTAAGACATAACAACTTTACGAGGGGGAGAGTACAGAAGCATTCGAGCTACCAATCAATAAGGTTATTCCAATTTTCTGCTCCATTCTCTTCCATAATTTGATGGGGACCGACTAGCATGGACTGTGAATTGATGACTAATCATATGGTAAAGAAAATCTCAGTCAATTGAAAAGAAAAATTCAGTAGAAATGCAGCTCATGATGAAAACCAAAGACCTCAAACACAATTAGTTCCTTGAATTCAGAACAAATATTTGAAAAACATAATCAACCCAACTAACAAACTACAAACTACTTGTTTAATTTATAATTCAGACAACATGATAAGTAACATCTAATCTAAAATTCCAGTTCAGCGAGATCAGTGACTTACCGGGCAATGTTGAAAAGCTCCACCACCAAGTGTAATGTTATACAATTGATTACGAGCATCGTTTATTAATTTTTGTTTGTGTGCTACACTCGGTATTCCTTGACTAATCATTGTATCCATATTCAGAGTAGTAACTGCAAAAAACACATACTCCATAATCATCTCTAGTGATACCGACTTATTTTAGTCATCCAAGAGAATGCAGACAAGCTAGAAGAGAAGGAGAAAGAGGGAGGATGCAAGGAAGCTAGTTAAAGTTATAAGAACAAGTAGCATTTGTTTTCATGGTCTTCCATTGAAAATTAAGAAAATCAATACATGATAGAAAATCACAAGTGAATTATCTCTCGAGAGATTGGGCATTCTTCAACTCAGTGTCCTTCAAAACATATAAGCGATCAAATGAGCCATCAAATAATCTATGTTATCTAGAAGCTATCAGGATTTTGCAGCTACTTGGATTCTTTCATCATTAAAAGTTCATAATCCAAGCACAAAAAAGACATTTGATGTCTAGACAAGCAAGTTCGAACAGCCTCGCAACACACAATGAAAATTGGAGAAATTACCGAATCAATAAGCTAGAATTCAACAGGGTCTCATATTCAATATTCAAGTCTTTCAAACCACTGCTTAGAGCCTTACTATTTGGGAGACTCCACCTCCAAAGATCCCCATCCTCCATGTATTCATAAAGCCTCCTCATGCGCTCAAATCCATTCAGCAGTCTGTGATGGAAAGAACCAATGTCAAAGTTCCCATGAACATCTTGCATTGGCAAATGTTTGAAATAGTCAAAAGCTATTGTAGCTCCACTTCTCTGAATACCTATAACTTCAGTCGCATTTTGACGAAATGACCACTCATCGCTGAACTGAGAGAGATCATTCTAAGTAATCATAATAACATCAACAAAGAGAACCCTCCATGGAACTGGCACAGACACAATTCGTTCCATAGAAATCCATACACATGAAAGTTCAGAACACTTGCAATTACAGATATCGACAAAAAATATCACATTTGCATCAGCTCCTTCCCTCCAAATGGCAAAATTAACCACGTTGGGATGGTCTATTGCTAAAATTTCTTAACATGGGAATAACATTACACGTGCAACTAAAACAACAACAATAAAGAATGGGGCACGAAAGATCAAAGCACGTTTTGACTGTAGAATATAGGTCCTGAACAAACGCGCCACAAAGTCCAAAAGGTAAACGCCGCGGTATGATGCAGGGGAAGCTGACCAGAGAAGGTTGAAGGGATAATGCAGGAGAGAAGGTGACCTGAGAGGATTGTAGATTGGGGAAGAAATTACAGAGAAGGTGTGAGGAGCAGAGATGAGCGGACGAGAAAGTATATAAATAACGGCACAAATTTTACTGAAAAAAATAAATAAACAGCATTTTATAATTCATCCAAAACTAACTTTATAATTAAACTATGCACTGATACGTCGTCGTTACAGGGGTCTAGATCCACAAAACGTCGTCGTTACAGAGGTCTAGATTCGCAAAAAAAAAAAAAAAAAAAAAAAAAAAAAAGGAAAAAAGAAAAAGAAAATGGTACGATCCTCAATCTTCCGGATTACGAATTCCTGAAATTGTTTCACCGGCTTTCGGCTGAAGCGCCGGAGAAGACGAAAATGACCGCCGGATTGCTATTCTCAGCTGTTCCGATACCGTTCTTTCAGCTTCAGTCCACTGATTATAACAATATCCGTTCAACCGTGACGCGCATGCGAATTCAAAGCATTCAATCCAAATTAGCTTACAGTACTACGCCACTCCCTTTCTTCTCTGTCAAGAAGACTCGTTCAATTTCAGACTCGCCGCTCTTTTCTGTGACCTGTGTCTCTTCTTCACCTTCGCCTTCTCCCAGAAGATACTCGCCTTCAACCAGGCTCTACGTTAGTGGTTGATTTTCTTCCTCTCAATTGCGTATTTTTCCCTTCATTTAGGCGTAATTTTGCTATGTATGCAAATGAAATTTGGATTTATCGAATGGTTCCAATTTCATGAGTGTAGGACTTTCGTTTCGGACCACTGAAGAGAGTCTGCGAAATGCTTTCACAAGCTTTGGCCAACTTGTAGAAGGTCGTCGACTGCTTCAATTTTGTATTATGAACGTTCCGTTTTGTCAATTAAGTGAAATTGTTGATATTTGGCGCTAAATTTTATCAATTGTTATAAGTTTCAGTCAATTTGGTGATGGATAAAGTAGCCAATAGACCCAGAGGATTTGCGTTCCTCCGTTATGCTACTGAAGAGGAGTCTCAAAAAGCTATCGAGGGAATGCACGGCAAGGTACTTCAAATGTTTCCATAATGCATATTATTGTTCCAAGTGTTCGTCGCAAGCAGTACTATACTACCATTCACAATAGTTTTGAAAATTTTATTATCTCATTTGAGTTGGACAGTCTTGATGCTCTTTTCTTGTTCACTGTGATTTTGTAATGCATATACGACTCACTGTCTAAAGTATATCCCATTTAGTCTTCTCTAGCCTGAGAAAAATCCATCTATAAAGATTCAAAATGACTATAATCTAGGAATTACCTCGTTCAATTCCATCAACTGCCATCTTCAGCAAGCCTTTTTGGTTCAAACAAATCTTCCTCTACCTTCTGATATAAGATTATAGAATGCACAGCTCTATAACATTACAAAAAATTGTTACCTTCAATGGACTCCAATTTACGCATTACACAAGCAGCAATAGACCTTCAAATTCTCTATAAATTTTGGTAGAGAATATATATCTTGATAGGAGGAGTTGGTTATAATAGATTCAAGGTAGCATTCCTCCAGATATTCCTAATCTTGCTTCCGTTCATCCAGTTATTTCTGGTCTTGCTTCCTGTTCTACCTTTTTCAAATGTCAAAATGAATTGTGTTGCTTGTGCAAGATGGCACAAGTGGACATGTTTGTAGTTAAGTTCTAAGCATTTGTTATACTGATAACTTCAGTTTTATTGTAAGTTTTTCAAGTTTTCAAAATTATTCTTTATTAATTAAACAAACACTGCAAATTTTGTGAAATATTTTTAATGAATTCAAAGTACTGTTCATATTTAAAGGTTATCTCAAGCTCTTCCTAAGTATACCACAATTATATCTCCCCCAGCTCACTAGTCACTTCCACTGGCGGGCAATCTCCTTGCTCTCTGTCGCAAATTAAATCATGTAGGAGGCTTAGGAAGCCTATAAAAGACTGCTTAAACCAAATTATCGAGCGCTTCTATAATATTCAGCTGTTCTACACAATTCATTGTTATGAAATTCTTAATATAGATTTGGAAGAGAATTGATTAGAGAATTTCATGGCTAAACCGTAGTTACTAGCTTTACTGTGTCAGAAGACGATCACTGTTTATTGAACTTGTTATGAAAGGATTTCTTTTTATTGAACTCAAACAACATGAAATTCAATAATTCCATGTTTTTAGCGAACAATTCGTGTATACACATTTCAGAATTGGCCAAAGTACTGTTAAATATGAGGCACTCTGTGGCAACTATATTTGTAGAAGTTAATAGTCAAAGAACTTATTCTGAGGTTTATTTAATGGATATAACCTCCCCACCTCCTCTCATTGACAAACATGAATTGATATGATATTCTTATCTCTGATTCCATGGATAAAATTCCGATGCCACCTGCTAGAAGAAAAGGCTACTTTTTAAAATCTTGCTTATATAGCTGGAGGGTATGAACTCTGCCATCTGCTCATGGTTCTTTCTTTCTTTCTTTTTGATCCTTTGATGATCCTGTTGTCTTAAATTTATTGGTGCATGTTAGTTTCAAGCCTCATAACTTCCTGAGCTAATAGGGGCAACTTTGGTTTAGTTTCTGGATGGCAGGGTAATATTTGTGGAAGTTGCAAAGTCCAAATGGGAGCTTCGCCAAGGACTTAAAGAAAACTCTAGCCCATAGAGAAAATTGTTTCCCTGGTATTCATTTTTTAAAGTGCTGTACTTTCTCTTAGGAAAACATATATAATATATATGGACAGGCTTTGCGTTATTGTTATTGATGTGAGTAAGCTTTATCTTGCCCGTATGATATATAGTCAGTGTGTTTCAGGAGTCATATTATCTCTTGAAATTAATTGATATTAATATTGGAGATTGGTCAAGTGGATCATCTAACCAAATATGAACTTCTGAGACATGAGATATGGTCAAAGATCACAGGTTGTAAAAGGGGACAAGAATGCTGAAATGATGAATAATATTCAGATGGCCTTAGGGATACCAGAGAGGACTTTTAGGGGTACTAGACATGGACTCGTGAGAATGTGGGACATAATTCGATACAAGGAGAGGCCCACTGTCCCTTCTAAATCTCCTTTTAGAAAAGTCTACTTAAGGACAAGTCAATGATTCCTCTTGGAGATTGAGGGTCGTTCCCCCCTGTAATCATAGGTACCTGCAAAGTTTGTTCTTCATCCTTAAAGAAAGAGTTTTTTTCAGTACTTTGCATGTGTATTATATGCTTGAAAATGCGAACAATGTATTTATTTTGTGTATGTTGTGCATAAAAGTTGAATTTGTCAATTCATTTCTTTAATTCCAATTAACAATAATAAGTTAAATTAAAGATTTTATATACTTTAGTTTAAGATTGCTTGCCACTGAATGGATGCTTTGAAGGTGGATTCTTTTGCCCCTAGACTATCTCTTCATGGATTCTTTTGCCCCTGAAGTGCCTTCATTCTTAACTTTCAGGAAGATCGAATATTAGACTGTTCGATTTTTTTATGCCTTCAAATTAGACTATTTGCACCAGGGAGCTAAATCAAGTTTCTTCAAAGATAGGTTCACTCTTTTCTCTGAAGGATCAAAATTTGCAAGAAGATCTACAAATATGTTAAGAAGTCATAGAGCAACACCGTTTTGTTTTACAGATTGATTAATTGTCACTCAAATACCCAGGAATAGACAGGATAGAAGTTGTTGGGTAACCCCTTATAGGCTTCGCCCCTCCTGCTACTTTAGATATTACATGCTACAAGTTTGGCCTCCATTTTTTTCATCTCAAGCAAAAGAAACTCAGAAACCCATGTCAAAGCATCTTGGTCATTTCCTTCTATCGACATAAATCTGTTGCTGATCGAGTTCCACTATGATTTTGCAGAGGCTATAAGCAAACTCGAACTCTCCGACCTTCTCTCTCTTCTGAAACAATTAACGAAGAGCTTGCATCTCTCTGAGCCAAGCATCTCTTGTAAGGCACAAACCCCTTCTTACTTTCATTTCTATTACCTCTTCCTACCAGACAAGGGTCTTGACATTCAAATTCCGGGCTCTGATTTTCATTCTTATCCTTACTCGAGGAGCCAGAACATGAATCCACACACGAACTTTCTACGGAACTGTCATTTTGCACCCTTTCTTCCATAACTTGGTTAGTTTGATCAGGTGGAGCAAGATAATAATATGGTACACTTCGATACAAAGACCAGCAAGTTTGAGGAGCATTAGAGATCGCCTCAACATAACGGACACTATTCTCCTGATTCAGTGCGGTGTTGTTAGTAGGTGCTCCACCAGGTGACATATTCCAATCACCATTGTTATCCATCCTAAGAGATAAATTTACATCCATATGTTTTGAAGGTAGCATCTGAACAGGCTTCTCAGCATACACTCCACACTCATTCTTACTCTCACCATCAAGTACCAACGATTTAGTTACTTCAATATCATGTAGGGATGGTTTTTTATCATCAGTAACCATTACTGTTCTTCCAAAAAGCTTTATGCTTTTAACAGGAGAATGCAACTTGTTGTCTAATTTCTTAGATGCTGATCCTGGCTTGGATTTCTGAATGTTTAGGAAAGAGAGGAACAGAAAAAGAGTCAGATCCTAGATGTCAAGTTAAGTGCATAAAGGAAAATGAAGTGGAAGATTAAAAGGACATTTCAAATTACCAGAGTAAGAAAGTCTTCTGGGAACCGCTCGGAGGATGATTCGAGCAATAACATTCCTTTTTCTTCTCCTCCATTTGATTTTGATGGAAGGTACATCTCCCCTTTCCTAACAGAGGGAAATCTAGTTGACTGTATATCAACAGCTTGTGAAATAGGTGATGAACATCTATTATGTTGCTCCGAAACCGTAGAAATTTGATCATCCGAACTGAACGCAGTCAGTACGGAGGTGGGTGATTGGGTCTCTTTTTCGGCAATTGATAGGTTTGGAGATGGAGACCTCTCAGGTTCTCTTGCAACTGAAATTGCCTTAAGAGAATCGACTGCTTTACGAGGGTAAGGATGCAGTGGTTTCCTTTTTGGTCGAGGTGGAGGAATCTCAATTGGGTTAATGGAGCTGTCATTGCTGCCACTAGGCTCTCGCACTACCTGAAACACAAAGACAAAATAAAAGTTGAGTGTGGGAATGTTTGGTCATAAAGTGTGTAAGAAAATAGCGTAAAGGGTTTGGCGACGATCTATTTTGGTGAAAAATCCACTATCATCCTCATTATATTCTGTTTGGTAATGATTCTTAGTTTGGGCGGTACTAAAACAAAACGCATTTTTGACCTTAGAGAAAAATTTCTGAGCATGACTTCGGATCTGAACAGCTGTTTTGGTGCCTACATGTTCTGCAGGAAGATCAAGGTAGCGCACTAAATGATGGGTTGGGTATTGCAAACACCAGATTTAGATAACTAATTTCACACAGCCTTACCTTTGATCTGACGCCAGCCACGACCATAGAGTTTCAGAGCTTCAAGGAACCTCTGATGCTCTTCCTCTGTCCATTTTTCCCTTTGTTTTGAAATAGTGTAGGGCTTCCTAACCTGTTGATACATTAGAGTGCCTGAACTCAAACCCAAATCCTTCCAGAATAGGAGAATTGAGAAATTGCAGAAGTTAATTAGGTTACCTTCAATGAACTTTCATTCCCATAGGAACATAGGGAGCTAACGATCATCAGTGGATCCAGTTGTGTCCCATCACTAGAAAGGCAATTGTTAGCTCCAATTGAGCTGTTTGACAGCGGACCCTCATTCTTTTCCTGCATTCCATGTTGAAATAAGAAAGTTAGAGACCACAAGAAACTGACTGGAGCTGTAGAATCCCATCATCAATTAGCAGCAACCCATTTCATAAATGATTACATCATAGCCGTGGTAACTATACAACATAGCTCAATATATTAGGCATTAAAACAAAAGCAAAGTCCATAGGAGTACTCAACCAACAAAAGGAGTCCTTGTAAATTGGATCTATGGCCTATAGGTGAACCAACCAAATTAGTAGTAGGACAAGTTTTTGTGTCAATTTCTCAGTAAACAACAAGAAGAAGGTCACTAAAGAAAACCCAAGAAGTGAGAATTGAGTACTGAAAATCAGGAATTCAGTACTCGAATCCAAACAGAGACATCAGCAACCAATCAATCAAGTTTGAGAGAAAAAAATTTCCAAGAAAAGTTAAGAGGTACAGAAAACGTAAACAAAACCGGCGTGAAGGATTCACCTGGACAGCCATCAGCAGTGGCAAGAAAGCCGGGGAGGAAGTATAGTATAGTCTCAGTCCGCCAAAACAAGGACCTGAAATTAAAATTGAAAAGGCTCAGCAGAAGCTAAACGAAACATCAGAATCAACAATTCTGGAATTCATAAAGTTGTCGAACTTTTCACTTGTCCAGAAGCCTAGTAAACACCAGAAGAGCACATCGAAGAAGAAAAGAAAGAAAACAATGGAGAAAGAGACGGGGTGTATAGAAAACAAACCTGGTAAGGCGATTGCAGAGAAAGGAGGAGGAAGAAGAAGAAGCAGAGAAATGGAGAGATTGGAGGAAGAAGAAGAGGAAGGGAGAGAGAGATGGGATTTGAGGGAGAGGGCATAATAATGAAGAAAGAAGAGGAAGAAGAAAAAGCGAAGGGGGAAGGGAGAGGGAGGGGGTGACACGTCAGACGCACATATTAATTCCACATGGAATTCTCCAGAAAGTGGTTCTCAATCTTGTGGCTGAGGATTTTCTTTGCCACGTACACGCGTCACTCTCCCGCCCCCACCCCCCCACCTCCAACCCTTTTTCAATTTCCACAGATATTTAAGATAATATATTTGTGGAAGAAATTGAATGGTGAATGGATAAATCCCAAATTAACATATTATTATTATTATTATTATTATTATTATTAATATCTCAAAAATAGATATTTTAGTGATGGAAAATCACTTGGTATTGGAAGCCTTTTCTTTTCTTCCACCAATCAGACTTTTTCTTTTTTTCCTTTTTTTCCTTTTTTAAATTTGTTTTTCATTTTCAATGTGTCCCTATTTCTGCGTCCAAACACCCCCTATCTTATCGCCATTTTCTTTTTTTTTTCTCCACCATGTTTATTTACCCTCCTTTTTTTTTTTTTTTTAATTTGTTTTATTTCTCTCCTTTTTTAAATTATTAATTAAATTTTGTTTTTATAAGTTTACCTATTAGCTACGAATATAGGGTAATTTTTAATTTTTTTAACATAATTTCTATTTTAAAATAGAAACATTGTAACAAATTCAATAATATTATATTATAGTGTTCCAACGTACTTATTCAAACCAAATTGGGCCAATATATTACCTTATTTACTAAGCTAAAAAGGGAGGAAGGAATATTAAAAATGATTGAAATAAGATGTAAAAAAAAAACGATATGAATTGGGTTGTCCTTAGGGAGGCAGAGGGAGGGGCATAAGACATTAATTTAGATTAATGTGTTCCAAAAGGACCAATGTTTGTTGGGTGTTGGAAATTGAATTCCACCACTTATATCACATCCTTCAAACACTTGGCATCACATCCTTCCTTCTCCATTTTGGATCTCTCTCGCTCTTTTTTTCCCCAAAAAAATCATATAGATTTGATTTTTTTCTCCTAGTGGAAATCCCTTTTTGGCATTATATTCTGCCAATAGTTCTTCCTTTCATAAATGATTGAATATAGTACTCTTCCATTTTCTAATATTCCCTCTTTCAAACCATTTTCAAATTTATAACGTTCACAAATGTCTATAGCGAAAATATGGAAGGTTAGACTAACACGACGACTTTGAGTATAAGTTATCATAGCTTTGCTTTGGGCATTTCCAAAAGGCCTCAAACCAAATGAAAAGATTATTCTTTGTTTATAAATCCATGATCATCTTCTAAATTAGCCGATGTGGAACTTTCATCATGAAACAAGATGTTCATAGCAAAGAAGTGGAAAGCTTCTCCCTTCCTATTCTCCTAACTTATTTCCATCTCTATTTAAAAATAATAATTTATTTTTGTCAAAATTGGGTTTTGAACAATTTTTTTTTCCTTTACAAGCAATAAAATTTTAAAACATTTGAAATTTTTTTATTTATTTTCTAAAAAATTAATTTTATGTTTTAATTTTGATACAAATATATAAAAATAAAAGTAAGATAAGCAATACCGACAATTAAGATAGATATATTAATTTTTTAATTGGATTTTCATTAATGTTAGTTAAAAATGTATTAAAATAATAACGACCAAATAAACTAAAAAACTTAGATAAATTGAAAAAACTGGGCGCAAAAAAACAAAAAAAGTGAGACTTTTATTATATAAAAAAAAAATCTGACGGAAACTTTTTGAAAGTCTAAAATGGAAAAGAATAATTTTTGATTCAATAATGATTGAGATGATAATAAAAATGAACCAACCAACCAATTTTTTAAAAGGAGATAATATTTTCATGGCTCAATATAAAAACACCGACTGTTTTATTTTATTATTATTAATTCTTTTCTTTTTGTAAATAATATGTGGCGTAGAGATGGACAGCTGTCCGACTCCCATTGCTTGGTCTGTGAAAACGACGTGGAATGACTCCGCCTTTTAAAAAGAACCAAAACCCCTATGAGTTGGCATCACAAGACCCACTTTTCGCTTTTCCGCTTTTTATTTTATTTTATTTTATTTTATATTTTATATTTTAATTATATATACACAAACATGAAATTTTGAATGGATTGGGTCACTGATTCAAACCCTAATCAATTTCACAACATAATTTGATCCAACCATCTATT